TGATTTATTTTTAAACAAAGCGCATGCATTGTTCCGCAATGCTCGTGTTAAATATTAAATGTTAAAGCTAAGTTAAAAATATGAAAAGTTTTAAAAATAAACAATTTCGTAAAAATATTTCAAATGAATATCTTTGGAATGCATTGCTGAATCTCGATAAACTAGATAAACTAGAATGAAGGGAAATTGATACGTCCACTATCGCTCATTAATTATTATCGCCTAGTACGTCGGCTATGGTGGCCACAAGACGTCGTGAATGCTCCACAGCACAAGTTGCCGTAACTTAACCCAAGTGAATACAGAAGAGTTCGTAGCATTTAATTTTACCTGGAGAAGCTTTGGGAAGCACACTTCAGTAAGTTTTTGGTAGTAGGCCGCAGCAAGCAAACCTGGTTCGAACTGAGGTTTAAATGAATTACTTGACGATGCCGAAGCGACGATATGTTGCTGCAAGTCAACTAGTTTCATATGACCAACCGATTGATCTTCAAGCCAAAGAAAATATGAGTAATTAAATACTTTATCTTTCCACATAACAGTATAGTGGCCCTTCTTTAAGTAGTTACGGGAGAGTTCAACCATCGACCATAAACGCTCTTTAGAAGTCAACTGATTAGCGCGCAAATCGGGTACAATCATGAGACCAGTGGTGCGATTAACATATGCAAAATGGATGAGTCCAGGAAAGTCTTCAAAATAGGCATCAATTGATATATTGCGTTCTGCCGTAACAGCTAAAAATTCTGTAATCCCCAGCATCTTACCTTCAACTAAGGATGCCACCTCTGTCAACTGACCCAAGGCTATTGACGAACTGTCACAGCAAGTTAAAGTAAACAACTGTTTTAATTCATCCATGAATGCTGGCACATTGGACTCAATCCTCACCAACAGCTCTCGCTCCACTGAACGAAAAAAAAAAATCCGTACATTTTCTTCAAGTTTTCCCATTTAGTAACAAACTTTTTCAGTGAAGTATCCAATTCACCACCTTTTAACTTAGAACGTTTTAGTGCATCTAATGCCTGCTTAACAAATGACTCTGAGCTTTCATAAGTGGGCCTCATTGCATCCGAGTCACCTTGTACTTGCAACGTTATTATCTTCTAGAGAACGAAGAACGTATCGTACATACTGCTTGCTACTTATAGACTAGCGTATTCGATCACCTGCACCAATAAGATACCTTTGGCAAGTGACAGGGCACACATCCAGAATGGGGATCATGTGATGCGCCCTGCAAAAACACAGCCACGGAACGGTTGAGTGGTCGCCGATCACGTTGTAGAGAACGCGCAAGCAACGACAAAAATACCAAATCGCATTGACTCAAAGCGAGGGCTTGCTTGGACGAAGTAGAAGCGACAAAGTTGTGTGATTCGATAAGCAAAGCATGTGTACGCTGATGGCCCAAATCCCGCAGATGTTCCAATGCACCATTGTGCTCACCACACGTTTCAGTTCATTGTTGGTAAGCAACATGAGCAACAAAGTTTGCTCCTCATCCCACAAATGCTCTTCATAACTTGCGAGGCAAGTGGAAAGCAGCTCTTCTTGTACGCTGCTCGCTTGTGTGGCAAATAAATTTGCACCGTAAAAATGACGGGCGAGTGCAATAGCTGCTCCAAGCTGACGCTTGAGTGTGTCTACTGGACGTTGACCTATTCTTACAAACGAATATCCGAGCAAATCACCGAATGCAAAATTAAGTCCATTGTCACACTGGAAACTTGAATATGTATGGTCGAATTGGCAATGCATTATACGTTGAGAATTGATGATGGGGCTGATAATGTGCAAGATGACATTTCAATCAATGGAGGCTGCAGTTGCATTTTCTGGAAAGAGGCCAGCGTTTTTAGCGAAGAAGTGCTCAGCAAGTGCTGCGTTAAGCTGCTGGAAAATGACATCATTAGCGCTGTTGAAGACGATCAGGCCGTTCATATCCATTGATTTAAAATTTTTACAAATATTTTTTAATTTTGTCGATAATTTTTAACTGCATTCATTCCCATTGCACTGATAAGGAAAAAGAAATATAGAAGAACTATAGCATTTACTAAACATTATATAAGAAATAAAAGGCATACTCACCCATTTTACTGTTTTTACTCCATGTGGCCATCGATTGAATGATGTTTTTTTTTCATTCAGGAAATCGTAATGTGAGCCCTGAGTAGAAATGTCAACTTAAGTCTCCGCCTAAAGCCGCAACTACATAACTTCCAGCGACGCCATCTATTTCTCGTTTGTGGAGAAATAATTATTATTTTTTCACATGCTTGTAATGTAAATCATTCATAAAAATAAATTTTATTAATTGCCACTTTTTTGTCTTCTTTTTGCCGTGTCGTATTCAGATACGTATGCACTAATTTTGCCTCTAGATACTCTACTTTCTTTTGCGCAAAACGAATTGGATGGTACATAAGAATTTTACCAAAATTTTATATTAGGCTTGCAATTTTTTGGGATATGAGCTTCCCTGTTTTTGGCAATGGTCACATACAGTGGCACCGCAAATTCTTTTTGGTGCCACCAGGCTGTTGGTTGTCGATCTTGGTTAAACAAAAGTCTCCAAAGTACAAAGAAAGTTTTGTTTGACATTGGCAGAATTTAAGCCAGCTATTTGGAAAAAATAACAAATCAGCTGAACAAAAATAAATTTCTTGCGAATGCCCTCAGTTTGACACTTTCTCATGATTGCCTTTGAAATTTGTTAAAATTATCATAATGTCAGGTCAACATTTATTTTTTTGTCTTCCGGTACAACCCTGCATAGGAAAATATATAGTACCGGTGTGACCCATCAACCGAAATACATGGGTAATT